GTGAGCAGCTAATAAGATCTGCTATGAGCAACAAATGACAAATGTATTTAGCATTGAGTAAGACCCAGAATTAACAAACAATGCATTAAATTTCCCTATCAACCACAAGTTGTCATAGCAGAAGCATGAAATGCAACCATGACTGTACTATTATTTCATCTTGTTAGCCCTTTAAAAAAATAGACTTTATTTGCTTAGAATTTTAGGTTCACAGCAAAACTAAGAGGAAGGTACAGAGATTTCCTTTATATGCCCCGCCTCCACACCCTCCAGAGTGGTACATTTGTTACAACTGATGAATCTACCCTGGTTTTAGCTATTTTTGATGACAGTGAATTTTTTATTACAAACAAAAGAAAATCTCTGTATCACATCTTTTGGGCTATTTCAGATTCTCTTGGCTCCTGTTGTTCCCAGCTGCTACTGCAGTGATCATTTCTAGTTCCTTCAGCCACTCTGAACTCAGAAAAAGGGCCATGGGGCAGATTGTGGAATCTGTCTTCCCTTGACTGCTGAAGGGGCTGGGTGTGAGAAGCTAACCTCCCCCGGGGCAAACCTTCACTGGAGGAAGCTGGCCTATACATTTCATCCCCTTTCCTCCTTCCCTTGGTTTCTGTGCAGCCTGTCTGGAGGCAACCTAAGTGGCCAAAAGACTGGCTGTCTCTCTTCATAAAACCCTGGCCAGATCACTGATATACCGCTATGAGCGTGCTGCTCACCTTTGCTGGCCCCATTTCTCTTTTCCTTCACTCTCACTGATCCCTAATAAAGCATTGCCATTCAAGCTTTGCCTCAGGCTCCTTTTTCTGGGGAACCTGGGCTAAAGCAATTCATGACTAGAATCTAAGCTCTATGAAGGTAAAGATTTTGGTTTATTTTGCTCACTGCCTAGAATATTGCCTGGCCCACAGTAGGTGCTCAAGGTATATAAGATCTCTGTGTGTGTGTGTGTCTGTGTGTATACACACAGACACACACACACATATATGTATATGTATACATTTATACACACACACATATACTTTATATATAACATCTGCTGTGAGCATCAGAATTCATATATATATATATATATATATATATATATATATACATATATATATATGTATATATATTCCCCAAATATGTATGCACACTGTAACAGTTGATAGCTCAATTTTGAAAATGAAATGGATTTTAATAAATACTGCTTTTATAATTATTCAAAGTGTGTGTGTGTGTATTTTATATATATATGTACATATATATATATATAATTTGCATTGAAAAAAATTAATGAATTTGAAAAAATTAATGAATAGATCGATTCAGGGTGGAACCCCTGGAAGAGATGAGCACCAAAATAAATTTGTGGGAAGGATAAGAGACCTCTTATTAGCTGATTTCTCCCACAGAGAGCACCCAGGTCTGCAATACAAAAAAAACCCACCAGATGTATTTAACTGCGGTGAAGTGAACAGCTATTGTGTAGGAAGTTCTGAGAAAGACAGAGATGAAAAGGAGTAGCCGGCATCACTCAGCACCAAGCTGCATGAGAGGCTCCCATCAAGCCTGACGCACGGCTGATCTGATCTCCTACACTCTGGTTGAGCCTGAAATGCAAAGGGGAGGCAGGAAACACTATTGATGGCAGGGGCGGGGTGCCCACTGTGGGCTCTGTAGATCTCATAGACAAAATGCGAAGATAAAGAGCTCTTGCAGCTGCCCAACACAGCTCAGAAGCAAGTTGAGAAGAAACATCTAGAATGGCTCTTCCAAAGCAGAATTTATTATTCTTTCTCCTGCCTTTGGTCTTTTATCACTTTACAGGACACTCTGTGGTGATCATGGGGTGTACTCAGTAATCCACATTATTTATTAAGTACATACTATGTGCTAGTCACTGTTTAGAACTGGGGTAACATCAATGACCAAGCAGACAAAAATCCCTGCTTGATAGGGCTTAGATTTTAAGAAAGGGAGATAGTTAATAAAATGCATAAATAAAATATATCATATGCTAAACAACAATAAGGGATTTGGAAAAAATAAAGCAGAAGAAAGAGACAGAGGAGCAGGGAGTGGGGTTGATTCTAGCTAGGGTATTGTATTAGTTTCCTAGGGCTGCCATAACAAAGCATCACAGATTAGATGAGTTAAACAACAGAAATTAATTTTCTCCCAGTTTGGGAGGCTAGAAGTCTGACATCCTGGTGTCAGGAGGGTTGGTTTCTTCTGAGGCCTCCTCCTTGGACTGTAGATGGCCAGCTCCTCTCTGTGCCTTCACATGCTCTTCCTTCTGTGTGTGTCTGTTCAAATTTTCTTTACTTATCAGGACACCAGTTATATTGGATTAAAGTCCATCCAGATGACCTTATTTTAATTTGATAACCCCTTAAAGGCCCTCTCTCCAAATATAGTAACATTCTGGGGTCCTGGGGGTTAGGACTTCAATATATGAATTTTGTGGGTAGACTCAGACCATAACAAGTATCTTGGGAAAGGCTTGTTGAGAAGATGATAGTTGAGCAAAGACTTGGAAGAGCTGACAGTGCAAATATCTGGGGGAAAAGCATTTCAAGGAGAGGGAATAGCAAGTGCAAAAGCTCTGCAATACAGGCTTACTTGGTGAGTTTGAAGAGCAGCAGGAATGCTTGGTGAGTTTGAAGAGCACAAGGAGCTATTGTGGCTAGAATAGATAAACATTGTGAGAGCAGTAGGAGAGGAGGCAGGGAAGGTAAGGAGAATAGGCAAAATCAGGGCCTTTAGGCCATTGAAAGGACTTTGGCTTTTACTCTGAGTGTGAGGGGAAGTCCTCAAGGGAGAAATCATGTTGCTAGTGGCCTGCAAATTCAGGTTCAAATGCATTACCTAGTCTGAGTAAAGTCTATTAGGCATTATGCCGAAGGCCTCAGGCTGAAGCAATGAACCAATGTTTAATACATTTGACAGAAAAATACATAGATTTCTAAGACACTCACTATTGTGATTTCTAAATTCTGTCTCAATTCTTGCTGTTATTACTGTGTACCTTCTTTTTCATGCACTTAGAAAATGAGAGAGGTGATTTAGTAAAGTCATATGGGCTTTGATAAAACCTTGGAGGATGCTTGCATTGGTGCAGTGTCATCCTTTGTGTCCCAATCACCTGTCTTCTCTGTGAAGAGCTCTCATCTCATTGCAGAGGGCATGTCCTTTATCAGCAGTGCTGCTCCCGTGGAAATGAGGCTTGGGCTCTTCAAAGAGATCCACTTACTTTTAGAAACAGAAAATACTCTCAAGTGTTTGGACCTTTCACTTTATACTTTCTTCTTGCTCCTTTGCCACCTGGCTGCCTTGATTTCGAACTTAGTCTTAGGTTCTGGTGCTTGTTATTGACTCTGCCTATTTTTTTTTTAATCTTCACCTGAGAATATTTTTTTCCATTGCTTTTCATAGAGACTGGAAGGGAGAGAAGAGAGAGAGAACATCGATGTGAGAGACACATTGATTGGTTGCCTCCCGCATGTGCCTCGATCAGGGCCAGGGATTCAACCTGCGACCCAGGTACGTGGCCTTGACTGGAATTGAATCTGAGAGCCTTCAGTCTTCTGGCCAATGCTCTAACCTCTGAGCCAAACTGGTTTTGATGACTCTTTTACTCATGACCACATTCCTAGTGTTGACTTGCCCGGATACTATGTTACCTCTATTCGTGCTAGGCTTTGGTGACTTAGCTCTGCTTCTCAAGATATAATCCTGGGCTATATCTACTTCTTATCTTGCGGCTGCTACTCAGAATAAACCATTCTTATCACCATAGGAAGAACTGAGCAGAACTGAGGATGGGCATCCATGGAACATCTGCCTTCATAGCCCTCAGTACCTAGCAGTGTTCTTTGCATTGGCAGATCCTTGATGAAATTTTTGGATGGAATAAATTTATTAAAAAAGCAGTTATAGCCCTGTTGGGCATGGCTCAACGGTTGAGTGTTGACCTAGGATCCAGACGGTCGGGGTTCGATTCCCAGTCAGGGCGCATGCCCGGGTTACAGGCTTGATCAATGACTCTCTCATCATTGATGTTTCTATCTCTCTCTTCCTCTCTCTGAAATCAATAAAGATATATTAAAAAAAAAAAAAAAGCAGTTATAGTAGTATCTCATGATGTGGAAAAGAAAGTGTTTATTCAACTAATATTAGATGTGCTTCAACTAATATTAGATGAGGCACCATGGTAGGTACTGAAGATTCAAAAATAGAAAGACAAGGTGTCTTTCTTTCTTCAAGGAATTCACATTCTACTGTCTAGAGTTAGAAGAAAAGTCCATGTGGTCAACTTGGTTAGAGGTAATTAAAAAAAAATTCTTTAAATTGTGGGTCTTAATCCCAAGGCCAGTTCCAAGTGATTCTTGAGTACATTAGGGGAGTTACAGTTTCTGAGCTGGAAAAATTCTTGGAAAAGTTGCAGAACTTCCCTCTTGGGTTTGATGCTGGCTGCAGAATGATGGCTTCTGAGCGAAGAGAAGGAACCAGATGAAATATTTGTCAAGGGGTAAATAAAAACCTACATGCCGTCATGAGTACCTTTCCCAAGGCTGCCCATTCTACTCTTTGGTTAAATTCTTCTGGGATACTTGTTAGAAAAATACATTTTCTTTTCATATGGAAATTAAAAAAAAATCTACATGCTTCCTGGAAATCAGGCCTTTTCATGGACATGGCATAACTTTTAAAATAATGAAATCTGTTGTGATATGCAACTGAAGTTTAGACTTCTTTGGGAGGGGGGAATGAGGCCTCAACCTTACCAGTAAATTTGAGCTTTTACTTAACGTCACAGATGGTGTGGTCAACATTTTTTGATTATGAAGCAAACTCTAAAAAAGGTAAAAAAAAATAGAGCAGCTCAAGTGATCTTCCTCTATACAGACTGTAAGTTATCTTTCACAGCATCTCGTTGGAGAGGCAGCCTTGAGGGCTAAAATAAGTAGGTTATCCTCCTGCCTAACAGACATAAGTAGCTCTCTGGCTGCTGTGAGTGGCACAGGCCCGTGAGGTGGAGGGAAATGAGGGGCAAGTGCATTTTGACGTCCGGGTTGCTGTTTGTCACTCTCTCTCTTGCTATTGCCAAGCACAAGCAGTCTTCCTTCGCCAAGAGTTGTTACCCAAGGGGAACACTGTCCCAAGCTGTTGACATGCTCTATGTCAAGGCAGCAAGGCTCAAGGCAACAATTCCTGTAAGTATTAGGCTCTGCTTAGAATGGTGACCTAAAGGACATCTATAATCCTGGGTAAAACTTATTTCTCTTTGTTTTATTGTAGGAAGACAGTATAAAAAATATACGATTATTAAAAAAGAAATCAAAAAAGCTGTTTATGGTAAGCCAGAGGGCCTTTTTTTCTCCCCCATGTTTCTGATTGTTTGATGCCTTTCCCTCTGCGTTTAAACTTTTCCAGTTGGTCATTAAGTAATAATAAGGGGGATGTTTCTGTGACATTTTACAAAAGCTATTCATGGTTTACCTTATACAATTTCCTATATCTTTTTTATAGAAAAACTGCAGGTTCCAAGAACAGCTTCTGTCCTTCTTCATGGAAGATGTTTTTGGTCAACTCCAGTTACAAGTTTGCAAGGAAATCCACTTTGTGGAAGAATTTCATAGCCTTAGGCAGAAACTGAGCCGCTGTGTAAGTATGCACAGCCAATATGGTGAGTTTGATCCTAGGAACCTACCTAGAACACAGCATGTATGAAGCTGTCTCCACATCAAAGGGTGAGTAACAGGGGATTTGTAATTGTTGGCTTGTAGTCCACATGGAGAGCTCATTACCAGGGAGACAGGATCAAATAGCCATGCACAACTCAGAATGCCACAGTTCATTATTTCGTAAGGAATGGCAAGTAAAACATATTGAAGAGAGCGAAAATAACACAGAATGCTACCCAAATATTCATTTAATTTTTATCGTTCTCTCTTTATGATTCTCAGGTCATTCATTCATTCATTTGATGAATATTTTTTAAGTACTATGTGTCAAACACTGTTCTAAGCTGCTTTCTTTTTCTTTCCCTATTGATGAGAACTTTTGGACTGCCATTTTTTCTTATTTATTTATTTATTTATTTATTTATTTATTTAATTTTTGATGGTTATATCTTTTTTTAAGGCATGGTCTCAGTCAACACACAATAAAGAGGAGCTATGTCTTCTTTGGGACCTAAATTATTTGATGCTGTTATGGTCACTGTTACCATAAGCAATGGGGAATTAATTAAGAAGATAAAAGTGACCATATGTCTATAAAAACACAGTAATAATGACCAGTGTAGAAAACAAAACAAAACAAAAACATATGAAGTCAGGATCTGTGCAATATTAGTTGACTTGCCTGTGTGGGGGCTGTGGGATATTTTCTGTGACTTTGGGTCCCAAGTATGCCTCCTGAGGTTGTGCCTTGCAGGTGGTGCCAAGGTGGGGCAGTGATGGTAACTGCAGCCCTTGGGGTGGCAGGTGGAAACAAGCTCTCTACTCTTGGGCGTGATGGCTATTGAGACTTAAGTGCTGGGCAGTTGGAAGTGGATTCTTATTTTTTAAGAGTTAGGATATCTTTTTCTTGTGGTTTGTGAAAGGGCTCAGGAACCCAAATCACAGCCCATAATACAGACATATTTTGTGAAGGTGAGCTTGTCAGTTAGGTAAAAAAAATTAAATGAATTTACATGCACTTTTCTTTAGTTAGTTTGTGTTTAAGTTATGTCCTTGTTTGGGACTTTGGCTGCATTTTTTTTTTTTTTTTTTTTTTTTTTTTTTTTAATAAACTCTCTCATTCCATTAAAATAATGACAATGATTAAAAATTTCAAACTGGTACCTCTTTGTAGAACAGAGCAAATGCTCTGGGCCAGTCCCATTGCCTGAAATGATGGAAAGGCCATCACTTATCTTTGGTTTGTTCTATATTTAATCTATAAAGTCTACTTATTAAGGCAGTAAATAGTATAGTCTCTTAAATTTAAGTGGACTTATTACATAATTTTATATTTCATTTGGCTCCCTGATTAGATCACTATTATCCCAAGTAAGAGAGTTTTTATCACTACAAGATGTGATGACGAGGAGAATTGTCCATTGAAGCACCCACCATCGGGGGAAATAGAAATCTGTGGCAGTGACTGCAGGCTAGAGTGGAGTCATCCAAAGGAAAAAGCAAGGTGTTACCATTTCAGCATCTGGAAACAGGGATCCTCTTCAGCTTTTTAAAAGCACCTTCTGTCTCTCTTTTTTCTAGAGACCTTGGTTCCTCGGTGTAGAGTCTGTCCTTTCCATTAGCCATCCAATTTAATTTAATGTTATTCGAAGTGAGGTTTGTTAATGATGGTGGGGCACTAGAAGAAATCCTTCCCTGATACAATACAGTGTTGTCTGGGCACCTGGACACCCCTCCGACCCCTGCAAGCATGTCTTTTTTTACCATTGGTTCAGTTTTCTTGGCTCAAATAGCTAGAAACCAAGCAATGTTCTAGATGAAAAAGATAGAAAACATAGAACCGTCTGGGAACTCTGGTTTTCTTTGATTTTTTAAAAAGTGCTTTCCTAAAGGGACCTCAGTCTGTCAATAGAGACGCTTCTTTCAGAGACTTGGGCCACAGCAGCATCGGAGCAGGGTGGCGCTTCTGGCGGGTTGTGGCCGCTTACCAAGGTGGCTGGCGCCCTCTCATGGCCAAATGCGAGTTCAACACGCAATCAGCCTCCGCAAGAGCCTCCCAAGGAGCACAGGGCTGTGCGGCCTACCTTCTCCCGCCTGAAGCCAGCCACTGACTGCTTCAGCTCATTTGTCTCATGAGCTGTGTTGGGATGTGTCCGCCACCTCCGGGATCTGTGAAAAAGAAAGCCAAAGGATGAGCCTGAGCTTTGGAAAACCCTCTCAGACTTTTGCTTCAGGACAATAGGTGCTTGCCTTGGGTTTCATAATTTTATATTTTTGGCAACAGAAGCTGGTATTTGTTTAACATAAAATTTAATCAGCAGCTGATCCTTGTGGAATTCTAAGTTAGTGATTGAGGCAGAGTTTAAGCAGGGAGAAGTTATAAAATATGAAGTAGACAACATTGACTTGAATGCGATATTAATAAAAAATGAGCACTAAATATAGTCGATATATAAACAGCCAATTTGGAAAGTAATTGCACTTGCTGTATTTGCCCTGTTTTCCTTGCTATTGGGGTTGTTCTGAGGAAAATGAGTTAAAACACAGACCTTGCACTCTAGGAGTCTGTGTGTATAAGGGGATTCTAGTGGGAAGGGAGAGGAGGGCAAGGCCACTATACAACAATTATAAGAAGAGAAAGAAAGAAAAAGCACTAAAATAGAAGCACCAGCCAGGCTCTGGGGCCTCAGAGCAGACACTCGCATATCTAAATGGAGCAGGAAAACTGCCAAGGAGGGACTTGGAGCAGGGCCCTGAGTTCTGTGGGTTCTATTTCTGCAGAACCTCAGCATATTTCAAAGCCGGTCCCAGGCTTTTCCCATGTTCCAGAAACAGAAGAAAATGGCCCAACCCTAGTTTCCAGGACCCAGAATTCTAGATTTATGCTTAGGTTAGTGTGATGCTATAGTCTAAATAGGATTTTGAGGGGTTGATTTTTTTAAAAAAACCAACACTGCATTTATGATGTTGCTTCCAGAGTTAAATGCTATCTGAAACAGTTGACTTACATACAGAATTTTGGCATATAGTCCATTTGCTTAATGTGGGTACTTGGTGTTTGAATTTATGTCAACAACGAATCATTGGTGAGTGCTCTTCTGAAAATGTTTTTACCCTCTCAAAACCTGGAAGTAACAGAAAAGCAAAATATATGATATAGATTGCTTTCTATAATTTAGAGAATCCAACAATTTATTTTGTATCTTAATACATTGAAATAATGGTAAGGATTACTACAACTCTTTATAAACTGTTACCTTGTAATGGTGATTTTATTTTTTATTATTGTTATTTTTAAAAATATATCTTTATTGATTTCAGACAGAGGAAAGGAGAGGGGGAGAGAGAGGTAGAAACATCAATGATGAGCCCGCAACCCGGGCATGTGCCCTGACGGGGAATTGAACCCTGATCGCCTGGATCCTAGGTCGATGCTCAACCGCTGAGCCACGCCCGGCCGGGCGTAATGGTGATTTTAAATGTGCTGGTTCTATGTGGATTTTTACTTCTCTTCACACTTTTCCCCCCATTATCAATATTTATTGAGCATTTATTGACATTTTTAAATAAACAGCCAGAATTGTTAATAAAAACAATTACTCTGTTAAAGATGCAAAGATATTTTAGTCATGATAATTTTTTTTCTTTTTTTTTAAATATCATAATCTGCCCTACTTTGCCAAATAGAATTCGACTTGAATTTGTTGATTATATGTTGAGCTAGGTGGAATTTTTCACTTATCAAGAGCAAAGTACTAAATTAGTCCTTTAAAACGAACAATAAACTTCCTTGGTATTTTTAGGAACATTTGCTTTGGGGAAATACTGCAATTTCAGGGATGGAATACTGATGTATTATATTACCAAATATCATTATCTTGGGTTATATCTGAGTTATACTTGGTGAGGGTTGTTTTGTGTCACCAGAGAAAAAACTTAAAAACGAAGTCTAGTACAATCAGGAATGAGACAGTGGGTCACATGTTGTCAGCCGGAGACGATCAGTGTCTCTCTCTGCTCTGCAGCTCACCCGGAGCTCTGAGATTACTGGCTGTAGATAACCGTACAGCTCTTTCAGCATTATCACCCATGAGCCATCGAGCATTTCTAGGCTTTAGATTTCTTAGTTCAAAATTCAGGTACAAAATTAAAGTGCATGGCAAGTAAATAGTCCTGTTTTTCCTCCCCACTTGTTCTTTCCCAGGTAACGTTGTGTCTGTCACTTGTTACCATGTGATGAAGGCAAGGAAACGATAATTACCCACATTATGAGGGTTTAAAGATTTATACTTGATGTGTAGCCATGGAGTGGCTGAAACTACGGGGGTTTCTTCCCT